TTTGTGCCTTGAGAAAATTAAAAGGATGCAGACATGGAAGAAGGTGGCTCTTTGAAAGTGCTTCATGCAAGGATGCAGTATTGCCTGGTGGAAAGTGGTCTGGTTTTTGAGTTGAAGAGACCAGCCTTGCCATTTATTTTTGAGCAGATCACTTCACCTCTGGGCCCTAATTTCCATGTCTGTGCAATGAGAATAACATTATAATTAAGTTGTAACAGAAAATAAAATCACAGGTATAAGATCTCCCCATACTTTCACCTCATTCACTCTAACCAGGGCTGACATGTATGATTTTACAGGTTGTACACTGAACAAGTATATCTGGTGGCCAGGATAAGTGGGACCATCATCCGTCTCCAGTGTCTTTTCTGAAGTGCTACACCCACCTAGAGGGAGAGGCACTTTTCCTAAATAGGATAAAGGTGCTGTCTGTTTACCCATGGGACTCTGTCTACTGGAAGGGGCCCTTTTTCTCATTCTCACAGAAGCATCATTTGAGCTAGTGGTGGTCTTCAGCCAGCCTGCCATGACTTTCTGCATGCTACTGCAGGCTGTTTAAATGTACATTTCTCACTCTCTGTAGAGCTGAGGCTGTGGTTTTCCTGTCTGGAACCAACTACTCTTTAGTACAAAATTGGGAACAATAATAGGCATGAAAACCTAATGGGACTCTGTTTATTCTGGGAATAAGGTAGAGATGAATACTGCCTGGGATGTGGGAAAGGAAGAAAGCTTTAAGAGAAGGGGCTTTTTGGCAATGTGGGGTCTTTATCTTTTCTGAGCTCCTGACTGCAACTGATGTTTCACAGGATAACACCATTTAGAAGGTCCAACTCCCAGGGTGACCATTAACTCCAACCCATGACACAAGCACCCAGGAAGCCAGGGTTGGACCCCACAGCCGGGCATAGGAGTGGCAGCGCAGGTTGGCAGGAGCCAGGTTCCTAAGCCTGGTGCATGTCAGGCAGAATCAGACAACACCTGTCCTGAATGTGCTGGAGCTGGGCAGCCCTGGAGGTAAAGAATCATACACAGAAAGGAGCACCCGAGAAATGCCCTCAGGCTAGGAGGAGAAACTCACATGACTGTTGTGGAAAGTGTGGGTTTTAATGTACAGTTTTTGGTCACCACTGTGGGCCAAGGACCTGCCCCAGCCCCCAGATATTACTCCAGACAACGAGTCTTGCAGCTCCCAGTGACTATTTTCCCTCTTCAGCTGCTCTACTTGGGAGGCTGGCTCTGTTAGGAAGTTGCGGGCAACCCTGCTTCCCCGCCCCAGAGTTGAAGCAGGACTAAGATGTATCCAGGAAAGCCCCTGTGGCCAGCCTGAGCATAAGAGAGACTGAGACACCCTGCCCAACGGCAATACACTATACTGCAAGATGCCGGGACTAAGGGCACCCACGTACAGGGGTGGGGCTGGCACCCAACACCGAGAAGGTGCATACCTACGGCCAGCTTCACACTACCATGTATTGAAGACTTGCTATGTACTCAATAAATGAGCAATGAGAGCTAAGTGATTGTACAATCTTATTCAAATCTCAGAACAAGCCTACAAGTAGAAACTACTGTCTCCACTTTAGGATGATAGACAGAGGCTCCGGGGGTTTGATTAACTTGCACAAAGCCACAGATCTAGAAAAAGGAGGGTGCAGGGTTCGAGTCGAGTCTGTCTGACTTCAACCCCCCTCACAGTGCTAGACTGCTGCCAGCCTCTGTGGGGTGGGACAGGACGTTCAGCCACGAGCAAGGACACGATGGTGGCCCCGGGAGTCGCTGGCCCAGTCGGAAGCTCCCATGAGCTCATGTCTCGCTCAGCTCCTGCTTGGAGGTCGAGAGAGTGCTTGTGCAGGAAGCCCTGCCAGCCAGCCGACGACGGGAAAACCCCGCTGGGACGGACGTTGCTGGCTCCGGTTTTCGCTTGGCAGAAACGCTCGGGTCTGAGCTGGAAGAAACGGTCCTGCGAATGTCAGCAGCTGCCACGGCAGGACGCACTCGTGACCGCTCTGTGCAGAGACGCTGGCCTGTTGCTTCGGCTGTGACCGCACAGTTGGAGCGTCCGGAGGAAAACGGGAACCGCGGACGGCGCCTCCTGGCGATGACCTCATGCAGGGAGGCCGCGCGCGGCGCGGAAAAGCGTCCGGGCTTTGGCGGCGGAGAGATCGGCTTTTGCCAGCTACCGGCTGCTTGATGCGGGGCCCGTTTCACCTCTCAGAGAGCCAGTTTCCGTGCATGTGAAATGACGGTAATAATCGTGACCTCGGAGAGGCGTTGTGACGAGTCCGTGCAGACGTGACATTCGCAGGTGTCTCCGCCGCACCTGCTCCAGCAGGTGCGGGAGGCCGTGCACTGCGCGGCGGCTGCCAGCAGAGGGCGCGCGGGGCCCGCCGTCCGCCCAGGCTTTGCTCTGAGCCCAGCAGCAGGGCGGGGACGCGGCCTTCACTGCACACTGGGGGACACCGTTAGCTGCAGTGGCCCCCCGAGGTCACCATTTGCAATATAGTCCCAGTGACTTAAAGGAGAGAGTAGAGCGGAATCATGGTAAGGTGAGCACCAGAAAAAAAAGGTGTTCATTCCTCAGTTTCCTCATCTGTCAAATGTGGGTGCTATAAATAAATCCACACATCATAAAGAGCGCTCAAGATTAAAAACGATGTATTTGAAAAGCCTGACCCTAAGAGGGTGACAAGCATGTGTTTCATTCATCCTTTACCCACGCTGGGGGATTCCAACGATTACAAAAGATTGTTGAAACATCCCTCCAAACAAGAAAATATTTTACTAGGGGTTTTTAAAAAATATATGTGACTTAAAATTGTAAATTGATATGAAATTATACCTACTGTCAAATAGTGAAAAACTGAACTATATTCAGTACTTGGAGGTTGATCAAAACTTTTTGGCATAAAAAATGTACAGCGGCATATGTCTGCAATCCCAGCTACCTAGGAGGCTAAGGGGGGAGCCCAGGAGTTTGAGACAAGCTTAGGCAACAGGGCTCCCTAATTTTTTTAGGAATCTCTAAAAAATTAAATAAAATTAAAATGTAAAAAGTGCATGCTTTTGGCTGGGCACGGTGGCTCACACCTGTAATCCCAGCATGTTGGGAGGTCGAGGCAGGTGGATCACAAGGTCAGAAGTTCAAGACCTGCCTGGCCAACGTGGTGAAACCCTGACTCTACTAAAAATACAAAAATTAGCCAGGCGTGGTGGCATGTGCCTGGGATCCCAACTACTCGGGAGGTTGAGGAAGGAGAATCGCTTGTGCCCAGAAGGTGGAGATTGCAGTAAGCCAAGATTGTGGCATTGCACTCCAGCCTGGGCAACACAGACTGTTTAAAAAGAAAAATCATGCTTTTTCACCCAGAAACACAAGACATTTTTAGGTTCAATGTTTTGCTAGGAGGACTCACAGGACTCAGCATATAGTCATACGTATGGTTCTGATTTCTTACAGTAAAAGGATTCAAAACAAAATCAACAAAGGGAAGAGGTGTATAGGCAAAGTCTGGAGGAAAGTGAAATGTTCACCAGGAAAGTTTTGAAGTTTGCTGGAGCGTAGGAGCTGATTTTTACTGGAGGCACTCTTTCTACCTAGCATGTACCAACATTCCAGATTCCCAAAGTAAAACATGTTTCAGCCTAAACCATACTGTTTGCCCTCACCCCATCCATCAGGGAGCAAATGTGAAGTTTTTCCCAGTGTTTATGATAATTGTTTTAAGGATGGGCTTCCATGAAGGGAAGGAGATAAAAGGTTCTAAGACGCAGACCAAAGGCTTATGTCCCACATGAAAGTGGTTATAGGAGACAGGATAGAGGACGCTTGCCAGGCAGGCAGAAGGAATTTCCCCGATTCAGAAACTGCCTGCCTTGAGTGGAAAGTGACTGGTAGGTTAAGGATTCAGAAGAGTAAGTGGGAGTGATTGATGAAAAAGAAAAATACTGTCCATTATGAGGGGAATAATGGTGCATTTGCTGCCTTCTCAGCTGTTTCATTGGCAAACGCATTTCCCTGGGCAATGGGATCTAAGGTTTTTTTAGTGTCCTTTACAGTGGATGACTCCAGCCTTGGCTGGGAGGAGAGCAGCTTTAAGGAGAGCTTTTACTAAAGAAGCATTGATAACGGAAGATCCCTGTGTAGTGAGAAAGCCCCTTTCTGCCCATATGGCAGCATGGTGGTGTAGGATGTGGAAAGCACATTTCGAGTTAGTATAGATATTTACATGCAGTCCCTTAGCAAGAGTAAGAACACGGTTAAAGTAATTAGTTCGGCTTGCTGCGAAGTGGTAGGGGGAGGGAGTGTGGCAGCCTCAATGATAGAGAGTGGGCTACAATCCCGTAACCAGCCTGACCGGGCTTTGAAGAACTGGCATTAATAAACCAGGCATGGTCTGGGTCTGGAAAGGGAAAGAGAGAAAGATGTGGAAATGGGGAGGATGCTATATGTATTAGGGAGATACAGTCATGGGGTTCAGGGCTTGCGTTTATGTTTAGTATTAGAGGAGAGGCTGGATTAAAATCGGGGCCGTGTGTAATCGTCACAGTGGGAGTTTCAATAAAGAGTGAATACAGTTGGAAAAGATGTGGGGCAGATAACGGATGTGGAAGTTGCAAAGAGGATACTAAGGCCTGAAGATTGTCAGAGCTGTAGAGAGTGAGTGAGGCATAACCCACGATTTCGAAAGCCTCAAGAAGGAGTAGAGCAGAGGTAGCTGCCGCACACAGGCATGAGGGCCAGCCTAGGACAGTGAGGTCAAGTGCTTAGAGAGGAGGGCAGCAGGATGGGAAGCCGGCTCTTGTGTAAGACCTTCAACTGCACAACCCCGAATTTCAGCAGTGTGGAAGGAAAAGGGTTGGACTGGATTGGTATGGCAAAGAATGGGTTAAAGGTTTTGTACAGGGAGTTGGAAATAATAGGTGCAATGATGCGGAGCAGCCAAGGGAGCAGGAGGAATAGGCAGAGAAGTTACGTGGGGTACCTTGGAAAAGAAGGTTACTAGTTTACTTTAGAAGAGAGTCAGGGGTGGGAGCTGGGGATGGAACCAGGAAATGTCTTGGCACGCAGCGTGAAGGAAGAGGCAAGATGGACAGGAGCAGGGCATATAAGGTTCCTCAGGAATTCGGGTGAGTTTTAGAGAAGCTGGGGAGAGGACAGGGGTTTGGCATTATGGATGGATGGAGAGGTGGGGTCCCACACCCCCCCAGGGTTAAGGGAGGGAGACTTAAGGGGATCTATGGAGGGAGCCATGGGTTCGGGGGGGAAGGCAGCAATTAGGGGTGGCTGTAGCCCAGGAGTAGTTCAGGAGGCAGACAATTTCGTTAGGCTATCTTGGCCTAAAGGGAACTGGATAAGTGGATATGATTAGGAAAGAATGTGGAAAGGCGTGCTGGCCGAATTGACACCAGGCTTGGGGAGTTGTGAGAGGCCTGGAGGCCTCGCTGTCAATTCCTGCAACAGTTATGGAGGCCAAGGAGACAGGTGAGAGTGGAGTGCGGAGCCCCTGTATTGATTAAGAACAGGATGGACGACCCTCCACCGTAAGAGTTACCCAAAGCTCAGTGTCCGTGATGGTCCAGGGGGCCTCCGAGATGTTTGGACAGTGTCGGTCTTTAGCTGCCAAGCAGAGAAGCAGTGACGTGAGTCAGACAGCCCAGCTTCCAGTGGATGCCTGCAGATAGGGCAGGGCTTAGGAGGAATCCTGGGCTGCAGGCATTCCTTGACCCAGTGGCCAGGTTTCTGACACTTGAAGCAAGGTCCAGGAGGGGCGGCTGGACGCTGCAGTCTTGGCGCTTTGAAGTCTCTGTGAGCCAGTAGTGTGGCAGAGGCAAGCAAGCAGTTTAGCACGTGCCCAGACTAAACCTTGTCTGTCCCTGGGGTGAATCGGTCAAAGGAGGCATCCCCTGCATTGATCCATCACTTGCTTCGTCTACAGAGACTTTTCCCAGCAAGAGACTGTCTTCTGTAAATGGCTCTAGACGTAGAGCTTCTCGGGAGATCTGAGGGAGCTCTGCCACTTCCTCACCCGAGGAGCCAACTAGACCCAGAGTCTGCATCTTGTTAATGACTGGGTTAGGCCTCAGTTTTCCCAATTAAAAATGGGTCCTAGCCCTCTCCTGCCTTTCAGATCTAGATGAGATATCTAAGTCCTTGGAAAATAGCCCAGAACACTTTGAACCCCTTTGAGAAGTTCTCTGAATTTACTTAGAGAATCTTAATCCACAGGAATTCAGTGATATGGCTTATATGTCTGTCCAGAGCATAGAGGAAACAATTCTAAAATGAAGAAAGGACAAGGGTCAAGAGAGTCTCATGCGACAGATAAGACTTGTGAGCTGAGGGCCATGGGGAGGAGATGGTTGTCAACAAGGGCACCAAGGGAGACCTGTTCAGCGTTGGCCAGGCAGAGGAGGGTGCGCAATGTCAATACAGGACTGGGCATTCACTGCTGCCTATATCCTCCTGGGGTCCAAGCTGTGTTCCCATTTCTTTATAGGCAACTCTAAACCATGAGGAGCTGGAGGCTGGGGATGACCAGAGGGGAAGATGTGAAGTGCATGGTGCCATGCTCTGAGCTGCACATGTTGGGGTACCTTGAGTCCCCCAGAGGTTCAGGATGTACAAGAACAGCTCAATTGCTCACTTCTTGGGGCTGAATGTGCAGAAATGTTTTTGATAGTGAGAGAAGGTGAGATGTTAGTGTTGGAGTCATATGTACGCGGAGAGATCTTCAGATTAATGTTTCCTCCACAGAGCAGATCCTGTGCTGCAGCTCCTTCGACCACATGGTGTGATGTAAATGGTGATGCCACAGTGTTCTGGGCAGCACAAGTCACACTTAAACCACACCCTGGACCATGACATCGTGTTAATCAGAGTGCTTCTAAGAAATGGTTAACTCATGAGGGGGAAGTCAAGAATTGATGTCACCAAGAGGCCAAGCTTAGCTGGTACCTTCTGTCAAGAACAGCTCTATTTGTGAGTGGTCCTATGGTCATTTCCTCCTATGGAACAGATATTTCTAGTGTTGTGTTTCAGTTACACAGAAGTGACATATAAGACAATGTCACAGAATCTTGAGTAGCTAGAGTTGTGTTTGATCCAGACCCAAATGGGCAGAATGAAATAGGGAAAGTCTGGACTACAGGAATAACAAGAATGATGGGACCAGTCTTTTAACAACTGTTTGATTCATTGAACATTCATAGGTCCCTGCAATATGCCATCATTGGGTTTGACACTGGGTGATAGACATGAATATGCATTAAATATGGGGTATCTATATAAATCAAAAGCCTTAAATGCCCTTATTTCCCCCTGCCCCAGGAAGCCTACAGCTAGAAAAATATGCTATAGAGATAACCTCACTTAGGGATAGTTTTTTGAATAAGATGTTTGGCACAATTTATAACAATGAAAAATTGGTCAGGTGCAGTGACTCACACCTGTAATCCCAGCACTTTGGGAGGCCAAGGCAAGTGGATCACCTGAGGTCAGGAGTTAGAGCCCAGCCTGGCCAACATGGTGAAATCCCGTCTCTACTGAAAATACAAAAATTAGCTGGGCGTGGTGGTGCATGCCTGTAGTTCCAGCTACACAGGAGGCTGAGGTAGAAGAAGAATCACTTGAACCTGGGAGGTGGAGGTTGCACTGAGCTGGGATCACACCCCTGTACTCCATCACGGGCAACAGAGTGAGACTCCATCTTAAAAAATAATAAAAAAAAAGATAAAATGGAAACCAATCCACATATGGTACAGTTGTGCATGATCATATCAATGTACTAGGTTGGGTAAATTAGGTAGCTGTCATGTGCTGCGTAACAATGATTTAGTCAATGACAAACCACATATGTTATACAATGGTGGTCCCATAAGATTATAATTCTGTATTTGTACTATACCTTTCCCATGTTTAGTTACACAAGTACTTACCATTATATTACAGTTGCCTACAATATTCAGTACCGTAGTATGCTTTACAAGTTTGTAGCCTAGGAGCAACAGGCTATACCATACAGCTTAGTTGTATAGTAGACTACACCATCTAGGTTTGCTTCAGTGCACTCTATGATATTCCCACAATCGCAAAACCAACTAGCAACAAGCTTCTCAGATGTATTCTTGTCATTAAGCGATGCATGGCTGTATAAATAAAAAGATACAACATTGAAGGCTATGTCATGACAACAGTAATGTCTTCCCTCACCAGACACAGTAAGAAGAAGGAAAAAAGCAAATAGTACTAGCACGATCCCAGAAAAAAACTGCACTGGAAAGCAATATACAGAACTGTTGAAAACAAAAACGTGGCTAAGTTTGGGTACTAGAATTTTTCCTGCCTTCGACAGAATTTTTTGTTCAGATTTTGCATCAGAATTCATATATGCCACAATGGGGAATGCGGAGGAAAACTCCCACATCCTCACTTGCATTTGCCTGTCACCTACCCAGCATCGAGATCCTAAATGAGTTTTTATTCTTTTCTGTATTTTGTGTGTTTTCAAAATTAGCTTTTACTACTTTTGGGTATAATCTATAGTTCACACTACAAACCACATAAGAAGCTATTTGAATTAAAAATACTAGTAACATTGCTCTTTCTGTATTCCGACGAGACCCCCTCGTAAGCTTGAGGATGAGACATTGTGAAGATGTGATGACCAAGAAAGCAGCAGCCATTCTGTGACCACGAGGAGATAAGCTCAAATAAGAAAAGCCAACAAAATGATGGGGAAAGGGGACATGTTTTAAGAAGCCTGAGTTCTTGATGACACAATTGCACTGTTAAATTCTGGGAGGACTACCTGTTTAAATGTTTGTATGTATGTATGTATGTATGTATGTATGTATGTATTTGAGACAAGGTCTCACTCTGTTGCCCAGACTGGAGTGCAGTGGCATGATTACAGCTCACTGTAGGCTTGACTTCCTGGACTGGAGCAATCTTCCTACCTCAGCCTCCCAAGTACCTAGAACTACAGCCATGCCCAGCTACTTAAAAAACTTTGTAGAGACAGAGTCTCACTGTTACCCAGGTTGGTCTCACACTCCTGGGCTCAAGCAATCTTCCCACCTTGGCCTCTCAAAGTGCTGGTATTACAGGCATGAGCCACCATGTCTGGCTCTAATTTATCTACTTTCTCAGTTTTTAAGGATTAATTAATATTACAAGAGGTGAATATGCCATAATTTATTTCATTGTACATCATCTTTTAATGGTAACAAATAAGCTTTCGTGCATCTTTATGTTTATATCCATAGGCTAGAACCCTGGCAGAGCACCTTGCTGATCGAAGGGTAACAACTTTTAAAGGCTCATCATTCATACTGGCCCCCAGCTGACCCAGCTAACCCAGGGACTGGGATACTGTAGAGGTTCAACAAGCCAATGTCTGGAAGGCAGCCTCCTCCTTGCCCCTCTGGTAGCATTTCCTGAGTTCTGCTCTCTCCAGCCAGGGCATGGTTTTTTTCTTGGGTTGTGCTTCTCACGACTCTCCGGCATTACCATTCGTGGCACATCTATGCTGTTGGAACAGCGGGGGGGGGGGGGGCGCTATCAGAAGGTTCAGCTCCATGGGAGAAAGCCTTTATCTACAGATCTGCCCTTCTGAGAAGGCATCAGCTAACCCAGTCTCAGGGTGACACCGACGTCTCACCCCCTCTCACTTTGTGGTGAGCTGAAGCTCTCCTAGTTTGTACAATGCACAGCATGACACCAATCTCATGATGAAAAAATTTCCCCTTCGGAGAGGATCAGGTAAAATAACTGATGGGTACTAGGCTTAACGTCTGGGTGATGAAATAATCTGTACAACAAACTCCATGACGTGAGTTGACCTATGTAACACGCCTGCATATGTACCCCTGAATTTAAAAGTTAAGAAAATGAAAAAAGAAAACAAAATTCCTCCTCGGTCTCCCCACGTTTGTATCTTCTAATATCCCTGGGCTGCCTGTAAAGAGAAGAGATGGCTGAGACCCCAGAAGGAGGCAGCAGCTACAGTCCCGAGTTCAGCTCTACCCGGCTGCCAGGTGAACTCACAGTCTGCCCAGCATCCTGGGGACCCCCGCAGCCGCCCCTGCTGTCCTTTCCTTCACTGAGGCCCTCTGCCCCCAGACCCGCTCTTGTGCCCCCACTCTCTGGCCATGGCTTGGACCCCACTGCCCAAGTCTATCCCTGAGATCTCCAAGTAGAGAACTTCAGAGGAATTTCAGGGACCATTTCCCGAGGAGAATTTTTCTTCCTAAGGGGTTTCAGCAATTCTATTCTCCTGCTCTGGAAGACAGAGGGACAGTGAGTCTCATTCCATAGATGAGAAAATGGATGCCCACAGGGATTTGGACAAGGCGGAGGATTTGGGTCCAGTTGGTTCTCAGTGGTGTGGCCTTGGCTCTCCTTAAGAATTCAGATGGAAGTCCCCAAGGAGAGATGGGATGAGAAACAGTTTGTTCAGAAAAGTAAATTTCCAGTAGAGAGACACAGAGACCCAGAACCAAGATAGAGAATGAGAAAGAACAAAAGAGGGAAAGATGCAGAAATTAAAATGTCAGGGAAAAGAAGACACGCCAGCTGCCTTCTGGATCTCTATTTCCCCACATCCCCACCCCAAGCAGTGCTCTATCCTAGTTCTTCCTGACGCTCAAGGAAAGGGACCCGGGCAGCTGGCCTGCCTTCTGAACAATGACTTGGGATCTTTCCGTCCGCTCTCTTGCAGTTGACACCACGTACAGCCGGTTCTGCTGCTTCTCCTACACCTCCCGTCGGGTTCCGCAAAAATTCATAGTTGACTATTTTCCAACCAACCGCTATTGCTTCAATCCAGGTATCGTGTAAGTGCCAGCAGTCCTACCCACCGCTCGGGAGAAAGGCTGGGAGTTCTGGGGTGAGGTCCCCTCAGAGTACTCAGCTCTCTAGGGCCCATCAAGGTGCTGGACTATGGGGGAGGCCCCTGCAGTGTTTTCTGACCTGGCCTGGGGCCCGCAGAGTCCTGAAGGACCACCCCTGGGCAGAGGGAAGAGAGCAGAGGTGACAACAGGAGTTGGCCTTCTGAGGAAGCCCACCTGAGACCCCTGGGGAAGGCCTGGGGACCCCAAAGTGAAGGGGAGATTTTACAAGAATGAGGACAGGCCCTGGGATGCCTGGGACAGAGAAGGATGGAAGGGCCACAGGATCCCCCTGCTGAATCCGGCAGCGCTTAACGCTTCTTCCCTTCTCCACAGCTTCCTAACCAAGAAAGGCCGGCACATCTGTGCCAACCCCAGTAAGGAGTGGGTCAAGAAATACATCAAACACCTGAATGCTCAGGGGCCGCAGAAGCTGTGAGGACCCAGTGGCTTTGGTGAGGCCAGGAGGGAGCAGGAGCCTGAGCCAGGGCAATGATCCCACCACCCTGGAGACCACCTCTTCTGAGAGTTCCATCTGCTATGCCCAGCCACATTAACTCACTTTAGTTTTAATTTATGCATCATATTTCATTCTACTGCATTATGAAATTAGTATTTTCTCTGACATCTCATGACATTGTCTTCATCCTCTCCCTCCGACTCTTCACACATTCACTACGTGGATCAGACAGTGTGATTTGCTTTCTCCGCAGACACGGTACCATATGTATCAAATGACAAATGCTTATTGAATGGTTTTGCTCAGCACCACCTTTTAATATATTGGCAGCACTTACATAAAAGGTAAACCAGCATTCTCCTTGTGACGACTCTATTGATTTTGTTTCGCCTAATCAGAATCACAGATTGACAGGAATTCTGGGGCAGGAGTAGGGAGATAGGAAAAGGGGCAGAAACCACAAGATAGGGACTGAGTACTTCTAGAGTCATGCCAGACGTTTCCCTGGAGATACTTTCCTGAAAAGTTGAAGCAGACACCATTATTTTACAAACCATATTGTCACTGAAATGCCATAGGAAAATTTTCTACCTAAATGAATACCAGAATGAGACTGCGAGGCCTATTTATGCACACAAGCTCATTTTCATAAATAAAGCTTTCCTCAGAATGATGGCTAACATCTGTTGAGGCCTTACAAAATGCTGGGTTCTGGACTGGGAACTTACATTAGTGAAAGTCTAGCAAACACCATTCGCATCCTGGCAAGGACTCCTTACCTGGAAGTTGGCTGAAAGCCTCGGTCATGCTATCTTTGTTCTCCACTCTGCTTTTCGGGAGGACGTTTCCCATGACTACCTGAGATGCGGCTTGGGGTTGGGGTGGCCAGAGTCAGCAAAAAAAAAAAAAAAAAAAAAAAAAAAAAAACCAAAACAGAATAGATACTTTTTTAGTGTAAGTATATCCCATGCAATATTTGGGACCTACTTGTATGAAAAAAATTATCTGTTCTTTATCTGAAACTCGAATTTAATAGGGTATCCTAAATTGTATCTGGCAACCCTCCAAAGAAGGAATACCGCTTATAGAGTCATCTATTCCCGGTTGGAGGTGTCTGTTGATTGGCTTAAGTGTAGAACAGGGCTTCTCAACCTTGAATTCACATCAGAATCGCTTAGGAGAGCTTTGAAAAATTCCAGCGCCAGGGCCTCACATCCAAAGTTAAGAATTTAACTGGGCTTAGGTGGGGCCTGGCGTCAGTAATTTAAAAACTCCCAGGGGGTGTTAGCACACAGCCGAGTTTGAGAATCACTGTTGGTGTGTGCTCATAGGGTGTTTTTAGCCAGCCTTAGGGTTTTGGATGCAAATGCAACTCCGTCCCCATTTTTGAAGGCATCTGAGCTAGTTATTTTGGGTTCATTCCATTGGATGGTTAGTCATAAGCAGAGACTCTATCAGATACAGTTATTTCTAGAAGTGGGTTTTTAACACCTCTCCTCCAGCACAGCACCGAGAGCTCTGTGGTCATCTCTTCCACTGCCGACCGGCTCCCCGTTGCATTGACACCGCATCGCCCCCGGCTGTTGAAACGATGCCACAGGTGTGAAGGCCACTCTCTTTAGCTCCCAGCCTCTGATGAATACGGCTGCACCTTCACAAAGATCACGACTGTTCATTGCGATGGTTAATTTTATGCGTCAACTGGGCTAAGCTAAGGGATACCCAGATAGCTGATAAACATCATTTCTGAGTGTGTCTGTGTGGTGTTCTGGAAGAGATTAGCATCAGAAGACTAAAGAAGATCTGCCCTCACCAATGCAGGCAGGCACCATCCAATTCACTGAGGTCCCAAACAGAACAAAAAGCCCGAGGAAGGGTGATTCTGCTGTCTGCATTTGAGCTGGGACATCCATCTTCTCCTGTCCTCTCACAGTTACGGTCCCAATTCTTGAGCCTTCAGACTCAGACGGGGACTTGTACCATCGCCTCCTCTTTCTGACCCCTTCTCAGGTCTTTGGACTTGCACCAGCACTGACGACATCTGTTGCCCTGGTTCTCAGGCCTTTGGACTGAATCACACCACTGGCTCTCCTGGTTCTCCAGCTTGCAGATGGCAGGACTTCTTGGCTTCCATAACTGTGTCAGCCAATTCCCCTAATAAATATCTCCGTATTTATATCTGTATCAACATTGACCATTGATAGAATATATATCTATATTCTTCGAGAGAAATAGCCTATTGTTTGTGTTTCTCTGGATAACTGACTAATACATTCATTTTATCATCGAGGTAAATATTTACAAGGAGGGATCTGAGAAGGAGGTGGACAGGGTGCTTCAGGACCTACTTTTCCCCTCCTGTCTCGTCTTTCACCGCCTCATTTCTGCTTATGTTAACATTAGCTTGGAGTGGGGAACTCTGCTCTTGTAGTCCTGCAAGCTCCACATCACTGGTTTCTTAATCCGTTTGGTTTTCAGGCAGCAAGCAGAAAATATACTTCTCTTAAAAACTACTTTTTCTCCCCCTTCTCTGCCATCAGAAGTCAGTTTCAAAGTAAATTTCTTTCTTAACGGGTCTTACTAAGACTGATGCAAGAAACAGTCTCCAATACCTTGGGTTTTCGTTTTTATTAAAATCTTGGCTGGCAGATGGCTTTAGAATATATAACAGGCGATGGGGTAACCAGCTGTTTTGCTAACCAGAGGTGTCCCCACGGACTTTGACCTCAGCTACTACCCTCAGTCAGTTCTACATTTGGGGACCTATGACTTATAATATTGCAGTCAGTCTGTATTAGTTAGGGATGGCTTAAGTCACAATGTCAGAAAAAGTAACTCGATTTGGCTTAAATGATAAAGGGAACTTGTGAGTTCACGTAACTGAAGCTTCAAGAAATAGAATTAGCTTCCGAATAAAACTTGATTCAGTGGTCCTTGTTTCTCCACAGACTATATATGTCTTTCTGAATTTCTGATCTCCCTGCATTTGAGAACTCCATTCTAGAACAAAGCTATAATATATTTGTCCTACTCTATTGGCAGAATAGCTTCCGAAAACTTCCAGAGCAATGTGGATTGGGAAGAGAATGTCAATCTTGAGCCAAGAGCCTGAGGTCCACTTTTATTGGTCTGGCTGGCTTGGATTAAGAGCCCATCTCCATCTCTTAACCCACGGATCAGCAAACTATGGCCTTTGGGCCCAATTTGACCGACTACCTGTTTTTTTTTGTTGTTGTTTGGTTTTGTTTTTCTTTGAGATGGAGTCTTGCACTGTCGCCCAGGCTGTAGTGCAGTGGCACAATCTCGGCTCACCTCAACCTCCGCCTCTCTGGTTCAAGCAATTCTCCTGCCTCAGCCTCCTGAGTAGCTGGGACTACAGGCATGTGCCACCATGCCTGACTAATTTTTGTATTTTTAGTAGAGACGAGGTTTCACTATGTTGGCCAGGCTGGTCTCCAATTCCTGACCTTGTGATCCACCCACCTCTGCCTCCCAAAATGCTGGGGTTATAGGCGTGAGCCACCGTGCCTGCTGACTACCTGTTTTCATATGGCCTGCAAGCTAGGAGGTTTTTACATTTTAAGTGATTGAAAACCAAAAGAAGAATATTTTGAGAAATATAAGACTTGTATGAAATTTGAGTTTTAGTGTCCATAAAAAAGTTTTATTGGAATCCAGCTGGGCTCCTTTGTTTGTATATTGTTTATAGCTATTTTCACACAACAAAGCAGAGCTGAGTAGTTGTGAAAGAGACTGTATGATCCACAAAACCTGAAAGAGTTACTATTTAGCCTTTTACAGAGCAAGTTCGCCAACCCATATCTTAATTAATCTTAATGGCTTAGGGAAGCCACAAAGATTTACTGATTTGTTTGAGCCGATCAATGTCTATAATAAGCAACATTGATGGGCTTAAAATACCACGAATTACCAGAGGGGTTGCTTTTCCAAAGAGTCCTTTAAGGTTGAAAGAGAAAGAACTTAGGAACCCAACTAGTATCTACCAAATGTATCTAACGTTCTTACGTAATAACTATGTGGTAATATAGATGTTGGTATAGAGATACACATTTGGAATGTATGTTCGGTATACATAGTTTTGCATTAATATCATAGCCACCTTTCATTTCAGTATGTATATCTACTTCATTCTTTTCAGTAATTTCGTGCTTATTATGTGGCTATACCATGATGGTTTAAACTGTGCATCGTTTAAAGAATTTATTCCTATTGGTTGTTTTTACAAACAGAGCCGCAAAGAACAGCCATGTGCCAACACTTTGTGTCTTTTTGTTTGTTTTTGAGACACAGTCTCACTCTGTCACCCAGGCTGGAGTGCAGTGGCACAATCTCAGCTAACTGCAACCTCTGCCTCCCTGGTTCAAGCAATTCTCTTGTCTCAGCCTCCCAAGTAGCTGGGATTACAGGCACCTGCCACCATGCCTGGCAGATTTTTGTATGTTAGTAGAGATGAGGGTTCACCATGTTGGCCAGACTGGTCTCGAACTGCTGACCTCAAGCTATCCACCTGCTTTGGCCTCCAAAGTACAGGGATTACAGGAGTGAGCCACCGTGCCTGGCCCTAGTTTGTTTCTTTAGATAGTGTTTCTTGAAATAGATTCCTAGAAATAAGCTAGATTGAAGAGTACGTAAATTTAAAATTTTTCTGCAGACTGTGTCATTGCTCTTCAAGAATGCTAATTACCAAGATTTCACTTTTTGATACTAAAAAATAGATTGTTTAAAACACACAAAGTGGTGCTTATCAAAAGGTTAATATATTTTGCATTTCTCACAAGTATGTTGAATTTCTTCCTGTTGCATTTTACAGAAGGAATCCTGACTCAGTCTAACTTTCTTATACTTAAAAATATAACAGAGGCCAGGAGTTAGAAAACGTTTTCTATAAAAGGCCAGATAGTAAATATTGACGTCTTTGTGGGCTACACAGCCAGTGCTCGACTTATGACCACGATTGGGTCCGACAGACCGGTCGTAACATGTTTTGGTCAGTAAGTTGAGTAGGGCATATGTACAGTACTGTGAAATGATGTTACAAAAATCTTTAAGTCATATTTTATCATAGTTTTCTTTCATTATTGTTATATATCATAATTTTCTTTGTTCATTTTATGCCATTTGTATCATCTCTACACCATTTTGTTTCTTATTTTTACATTCGTCAGGTTTAAGTAAAACACTGCATTACCAGTACAACTGGTTTAATATTTGCAAAACATACAAAATTACAAAATACAGGTGCCTACAAAAATACAAAATACAGGTGTAAAAAATACCATAGGAAACATTTTCCCAATTGCAAAACATATCAAAATATATAAACATG